CCTGAACCTTAATTTCAGGATGTTTTAGGGGGAAGAGTGGACACTAGAATATTTAGTATGGTTATTCGTTGAATTCACTCTTTTTTTGTGATCAGACACTGGTCTCGTGATGCTAAGTATGCACTCTACAGTAGAGCTATATCCCCAGCATGAATTCTTTTCTTTTTCTGAAAGGTTTCACCAAAATGTGTTTTTCCTGTCTTTTATTCCTTCACAGAATTACTGTCTTTTCATTCTGCTATCTCCCACATTTTGTGAGTTTTAAGATGTAGGAATGAGTACTTGACCCTTGAGAGAACATACCTACTCTTCTCTGAAGTTTTATTACTTTTCCAGTTCCTTTACAGAGGTACTGTTCCTCGCTTTTCTTAACTATCTGCTAACATGTTGAACCGCAGGAGTTACTGCATGTGGTATGGTTTATGGGCTTAGGAATTTGGAAGGTCACATATTTCTTTCTGCTGTGGTATTGGACCCTAACTTATTTTTACAAAAGGTTCTTTTTGGAAGACATAATAGCTCTTTGATTTCAACATAAACTCACCCTTTCCCTAGGAGGTAGGAAGTGGGGATTTATTTGGCCTGTTTTAATGATACTAGGGTTAGATCTAAAATTTATTTATTCATGATCACACATGGCAAATTAATGAAAAATCAGGACACTATTTTAATTTCTATGGCATTGTTTTTAGATTCCTTAATTATGAAAAGTTAAGAAAAGTAAGAAGAGTTGAAAAAAGGCAATTTTTACTCAGAGGTTTCCTGATGGGTCCTTTCAATTTTGAGGAAATCCCCTATAATTAAAAATTTTGACTTTTCTGACCTGTAATAGCTGTTTTTTTTTCTGTCTGACAACCAAATAATCACCTTTATTTGTCTGCTATTATTCAATCAGATTCTTTTATTTTAATACCAAGGGGTCTCACACACTGAGCTACATCCCCAGCCCTTTTTAATTTTCTTATTTGAGACAGGGTCTCACAAAGTTCCTGAAGCTGCCTCAAACTGACAATCCTTCCGCTTCAGCCTCCTGCTGCTGGAATTGCAGGCTTGTGCTACCCAGCCCAACAGATTCTTTGCTTTTGATTGTTCCTTTTCCTTCTATCCCATGGCAGCAGTCTCTGGCTGTGAAGTTCCCATATAAGAGCTGGGAATGGTGGTGCGCATCTTTAATCCCAGCTATTTTGGAGACTGAGGAAGGAGAATGGCAAGTTCAGGGGCCCACCTTTGCAATTTACTCATACCTTGTCTCAAAATTTTGAAAAATATTTAAAAAAATAAAAGGGCTAGGGATGTAGTTTAGTGGTAGCATGCCTCTGGGTTTAATCCCCAGTATCATAAAAAACAAAGTTCCCACATAGGACTGCTATTGTAGCTCAGTGGTAGAGTGCGCTTAGAATGCACCAGACCTTAACACTATAAAAAGTAAAATAAGATAAAGTTCCTGTATGTAAAGCAGAGTAGGATTTGGGAGATCTAAAATGTTTGTTTAAGGCTGGCGCTGGGGCTAAGTGGTAGCACACTTGCCTGGCATGTGTGAGACACTGGATTCCATTCTCAGCACCACATAAATAAATAAAATAAAGGTCTAGCAACAACTTAAAAAATATATTTAAAAAAATAAGATAATTAAAAGCAAAATTTATGGCATTTAGTCTCTTCATCCCAGTTCTCCTTTTCTCAAGTATTAGGGATTGTTGACATAGGGAATGATGTATTAATAATGTGTATCAGATGGATAATAATTATTAAAAGATCCATTTCATAACAACATTGCAAGAATGACTAGGGCATGGTGATGCAGGTCTGTAATCCCAGCAGCTCTTGAGGCCGAGGGAGGAGAATTGGATTGCCAGTTCAGAGCCAACTTCAGCAACTAAACGAGGTAGTGAGTCCCTGTCTCAAAATTAAAAAAAAAAAAAAAAGAAAAGAAAAGGGCTAGTGATGTGGCTCAGTGGTTAAGCACCCCTGGGTTCAATCCCTGGTACCAAAAAAAAAGAGTGAGAGGGCTGGGGATACAGCTCAGATGGTAGAGTGCTTGTTGTCTCGCATGCACAAGGCTGTGGGTTCAATGGGTTCAATCCCCAGCACTGCAGCACACACACACACACACACACACACATACACACACACACAGAGAAAGAAAGAAAGATAAAGAAGCAAGGAGGTTGGAGGATTCTAACTTCAAGGCCAGCCTCAACAATTGAGGGAGACCCTGTCACAAAGCATAAGGACGGGATGTAGCTCAGTGGTAAAGCACTCTAGGGTTCAATCTTTAGTACTAAAACAAAAAAATCAAGTGAGAATAAATAGTTCAACAGCAGTGGTTTTGGCTAACCTACTCTCCCTTCCTTTATGTAACTGCTGTATTAAGGATTAATTTTTTCCCTAGCTATAATTTCAGTTGTAAGGTTTTTTTGGTCAGTATTTCAAGCCTTTGGATTCTGGTTCTGTGTCTAGTGTTCCTCCCAAGAAGAAAGCTCATATGGTATCTTTTTGTTTTTTTGGTGGTGCTGGGGATTGAACCCAGCCAGGGTCTTGTGCATTTGAGGCAATTAATCTCCCATCTGAGCATATCTCCATCCCTTATATGGTATCTTTGAAATGCTTCCCCTCCCCCTCTTTCCTCTGATTACCTCCCAAACAATTTTAATAATTGTACTATACACAGGGAGTTTTTTTTTTTTCCTCCAGTGTGGTGCTCAAACATAGGGCCTCACTTATGCCAGGCAAACACTTTACCATTGAGCTACAACCCTAGCCCATTAACAGTACCATACAGATGGTGAAAAAGGCCTTGTCTACAAGTGCTTCTGGTGGGTTAGGGTACAGATCTTGTTGTAGAAGGACCTGGCCTTTCCATTCCTCCTTTCAGTGAGCTATAATCTTATTAGATGATCTTAAATTGCTATTGATTAATTCACAATGCTTTTAGAGTAATAAGCATAAGTTTTGAAATTAAAACCCAAGAACCAATTCCCTTGGTTTCTGAATGCCTTGCCTTGAGGCCAAGGGAGGTGCTGTCCAACTTCTCCACCCAGTCATCACTGAAAAGGAAAGTTAAGCCTTTTAACTTTTCCATTTGCCTCTCCCCCTCAGTCTAGTAAGGCTGCCAGTTGCCATGGCAACGGACTGGGACAGCTGCGCAGTGGCGCCCAGGCAGCTGGGTGGGGGCGGGGGAGCTGCCTGCCCGCCAAGCCCCAGACCTGGGAGGGGAGGCCCCTCCTGTTAGCCCAGAGGGAAAGAAAGAACTGGGGCGATCCGGTAGGTAAAGGAGGGAACCCCCATTCATTTTCTACTTTGGGGGCTTCATGAAGGGATAAAGGGAAATTTTCCTTTTCCCTCCCTCAAACTGAAGAACACATATGTAAATCCTTGTTTTTCCTGCTGAGGCAGGGGAGGCCATAGCCACAATGCTTAACTGCATGCATCTAACATGGGGCTGGTTTTTACCCCAGCGTTCTGACCTAAACTGCTCAGCTCCCGGAAATTCCAAGGTGAGTGGGGGTGGGGGTGGGGACTCTCCCTGGAATATGACATTTCCTGTCTCTGGTGAGGTCGGAGGCTGTTTTTATTTAAATAAACCAAAATCAGATCTGTTTTCTTGCAGCTTAGGAGTCTCTTCTAAATTCATGGAAAGATTATTTTAAAAACACCCATTTAACATTCTCCCATACTCTTTTCCAGATAAAGTATTTTAATGAAAACTTAGTTTTATTATAGGGCAGTTATGGGTACAGGCAGTTTTTAGGATGTGTATACCTATTGCAGTAAGTTCTAGAATGTGGTTTCCAATAATATTGCAATAATTTCTTAAAATCGAATTTGAAGCTAATTGATGTAACTTTTTATGTTTACTTGACATGAACATAATTCTGACATTAGTGGTCCTTATTCCTGGGAGTGGTTTCCTGGTTAACATGGTAATGTTTAGGAGTGCTGAAAAACATCTTTAAAGATAACAGCAAAATAAAAATGAAGTTCAGCTAAGAAAACAATCCCTGGTACTCTATAATCCAGACTGTAGGCATCATTTAACATGGTTAAGGAAGAATTCTTAAATATGGTTATGGTAACAACAGTGTTGAATTTTTAAAAAACTAGAGTCTTTATGGAGCACCCCCTGTTGTGCATATTTCTGGGCTTAACTCAATTTCCATTAGTTTTGCCTTGCTTCAGCTTTCCTTGGGCCTATGAATGGCTCCTCTGTGTTTTGAGGAGGCTTAATGTTGATGCTGAGTCTGGGGCCAGACTTCTTTTTCCTCCTCTTCCTTTGGCCCAGAGTCAACTTCAGTTAAGAGGAGAGGGACCTCCTTAACTATTTGGGTTAGTTGAGCCATGGGAATTACTGAATAATCCAGTGACTAATTTTGAATTTTAGGACTAAAAAGTTTTTCTTCTTCCCTCCCATCCCCAAATGAGCATGCTGGAAAAGGAGGCTTAGTGTGTTTGAGATGTCAGCCTTGCTCTTGTGAGCTGATGGATGCTCTGGAGGGACAAGCTCAATTTGTTTCAAGGAAATGTACTGAGTCACTGAAAATGTGGTGAAAGATGCCTAAGCAAGGCCTTTTTTGTGCTAAGAGACTGGTCAAGATGCTCAGATTAGAGAAAAGTTACATATTGGTGGCTTCTTTTTTCATTTTTATAAAGACTCTATTCACCTTGTAGGGAAATGTTTTCATTCTGTCTTGCTTCATTTAACCAAAGGTTTTCCACATTTTCTCTTTGAGTTCCAGGCTTAAAAACAGTTACAAAAGTAACCAGGAGTTAGATAACTGCCATCTGATAATTTTCATCTCTTTCGACAAAGAGAAAATTGTAGCTGGGGGATTGAGGAATTGATCCTTTTTTTAATTAAATTCTTTTTGTTTAAATTAAGTTCTTAAGCTGTCTATATAGAATGTTGGGAAACTTTGTTCTCTCCCTTTCATCACATTGATAAGAGACAAAGTTTTTAATCCTCACAAAGGTTGTAACCATTTCGTCTTTCCCCTTTGCAGGAACCCGTGGCCTTAGTCCTTCAGGTGGAATAGTGTGCGACATGGGAAAGAAAACCAAGAGGACAGCTGACAGTTCTTCTTCAGAGGATGAGGAGGAGTATGTTGTGGAGAAGGTGTTAGACAGGCGTGTGGTTAAGGGCCAAGTGGAGTATCTGCTGAAGTGGAAAGGCTTTTCTGAGTAAGTGCTTTTTTTCAGGCTTTAGGACTCTATAGAGGTAGAGACCATTGGTTTACTCACCCATGAGCCACCACGGTCATTGTCTTTTTCCCCCCACCTTTTTTTACCTCTCCGAAGAATCAGAAGGTGCAGAAGTCACTAAGTAGTCTCCCTTCTCATGGAACTGATTTTTTTCTTTTTAAATTTTCTTTTAGTTGTAGTTGGACACAAACCTTTATTTTATTTATTTAGTTTTATGTAGCATCAGGGCCTCACACATGCTGGGAGAGCTACAAACCCAGCCTGGAGCTGATGTTTTGATACAGCTTTTGAGGGGCAGGATAATGGATTGGTTAAGGAGCATAGGCCTTGGGAACCAAAGTTTCCATATTCTTGTTTCACCACTTAAGACGCAAGCTGGATGATCTTGGCTAATTTCCTTATTTCTCTTCAATAAAATTTGGATAAGAAAAAGTACTTGAGGGCTGGGGATGTGGCTCAAGCGGTAGCGCACTCGCCTGGCATGCGTGCGGCACTGGGTTTGATCCTCAGCACCACATAAAAATAAAATAAAGATGTTGTGTCCACCGAAAACTAAAAATAAATATTTAAAAAAAAAAAAAGAAAAGAAAAAGTACTTGAGAGTTGTTGGGTAGATGTATAGAGTCTGAATCATAAGCTTAGTGTAAGTATAAACTGTTGGTAGTAGCAGTATTTGGGATACAACTAAGATAAAAATATGTATATTATAGCATAGAAAGAAGTAAGTCATCTAGCCTGAATCGGATCTTAAAACTGTATCAAGATGAATTATACATCTTATTGAAAGACTTATTTGAGGTCAACATTTTATTTGCAGAAATTTCAAACATAGCCCAGGTGTGGTGGCACATGCCTCTAGTCCCAGCAACTTATTAAGAAACTGAGGCAGAAGGATCACAAGTTCAAGGCCATCCTGGCAATGTAGTAAGACCCTATCTCAAAATAAGAGATAATTCAAGCATTGTAAGATACCTAGCATCTCTAGCACCTAGAGTACTATACGTGGGTAGTACACCAATCTGAAGATGCTTTCCATATTTTTAAAGAGTGGTGGTAATACAACTTCCACTAGATAAGAACCACTGAGTTTAGGGGAGACTGAGAGCACCGTGAGGTAGGAATTAAAATAATAACAAAAGATTTTGAGGGAGTTCTTTAGGTCCATCAAATCACAACTAGAAGTACTAAGGTATTTAAAACTATCTCTTTTGAGCTACTGGTATCTCACCATAGATAAAAAGGAAGAAGATGAAGTTTGGGAAAGACAGGTTAAGCACTGATCCTTACTTTGTCATCAATACCTGGGACTCATAAATGACTGGAACAAATTTGGCCCTTTAACCCAGCGTTTGACAACAAAAGTACCTGCCTGAGTGCTAGTGGATACCCTCTGTGGATGCTGAATCCGTGGACAATATTGAATCGTATATAAATGCACTATATGTTTTTTTCTTATATATCTATGACAAAATTTAATTTTTAAGTTAGGCACAGTAGAGATTACAACTAATGCTGGGCGGGGCGGTGCATACCTATAATCCCAGTGGTTTGGGAGACTGAGGCAGGAGGATCATGAGTTCAAAGCCAGCCTCAACAATAGCGATGCACTAAGCAAGTCAGTGAGACCTTGTCTCTATAAAATACATAATAGGGCTGGGGATATGGCTCAGCTATAGAGTGACTCTGAGTTTGATCCCTGGTACTAAAAAAAAAAGAGAGAGAGATTAACAGCTAATTATTATTATTATTATTTTAATACTTATTTTTTAGTTTTTTCGGCGGACACAACATCTTTGTATGTGGTGCTGAGGATTGAACCCAGGCCGCACGCATGCCAGGCAAGCGCGCTACCGCTTGAGCCACATCCCCAGCCCCAACAGCTAATTAATGATAAAATGGAATAGTTGTAGCAACATACAGCAATAAAAGTTATGTGAATGTGAATTTCCCTCAAATATTTATTGTACTTACCCTTCTTATGATGACATGAGATGATATAGTGCTTGTGATACGATGAAGTGAGGTGAGTAACATAGGCATTCTAATATAGTGTTAGGCTACTGCATAGGGTTATTTGAACATAAGCACTACAAATACCATGATAGTCTGATAGTGGAGATAACTACTAAGTGATATTGGGCAGATAGTGTGTGGAAACTTTGGTCAAAGGATGATTGACATTCACAGAACAGAGTGAGATGGTGCAACATTTCATTATGTTGCTCAAAACGCATGCCATTTAAAGTGTACTAATTGTTTATTTCCTGGAATTTTCCAATTAATACTTTTGTATTGCAGTCAACCACAGGTAAATTAAATTGCAGAAAATGAGGGGCTAGGGATATGGCTCAAGTAGTAGGGCGCTTGCCTGGCATGCGTGAGGCACTGGATTTGATCCTCAGCACCACATAAAAATAAAATAAAAAGATATTCTGTCCACCTAAAGCTAAAAAATAAATATTTTTAAAAATTGCAGAAAATGAAACCACTAGTGTATGTGCTAAGCAGTGATCAGATTCTACTTCCTCTGTTCTATTTAATTCTCATAAAAACCTTTAGAAGAACTGGGCATGGTGGTGCACACCTGTAATCCCAGGATTTAGGAGGCTGAGGCAGGAAGATCACAATTTTGAGGCCAGTTTTGGCAACTTCATGATAACCATGTCTTAAAAAATAAAAAGTTGATCGCTTCTCGGCCTTTTGGCTAAGATCAAGTGTAAAAAATAAAAAGTTGGGGATGTAGCTCAGTGGTAGGTTGCCCTTGGGGTCAACTCATAGTAAAACAAACACACACACACACACACACACACACACACATACACACAAGCCTTTAGAGGTATTTTCAGTTTCCAGATGAGGAAATTAGTGAGGCTGTTTCCTAAAGATCACATAACCTGTGATAGTATAACAAAAATCCAGTATCAAGATTTTTGGCTGGGGGGGGTTCGGGGGCCAGGGGAGGCTGAGGTTGTGGCTAAGGGGTAGAGCACTCGCCTAGCACGCGCGAGGCCCTGGGTTCAATCCTCAGAACCACATTAAAAAAATAAACAAAATAAAGGTATTGTGTGCAACTAAAAAATAAATATTTTTTTTTAAAAAAAGATTTCTTTGGTTCTAAAATCCTTTTTAAATTATATTGTGCTTTCTTTTGGGTGAAAATTGTTAAAATAGAAGCAGCAGTGCCAAAATGGTAAGAAAGAGATAATCCCATCACAGGTCAGGCTTTTTTGCTATCAGCAGACTCTTTCCCACCCCCAAGTCTACTTCTTGTGTTAGTGTTGTTGTGACTTTTGATTTTGGTGCCTTAATTTCCTCTGGAATAGTAAACTATATGGTTTCTGGGTTTGGGAGAAGAGTTGTGTGAATGATTTTTTTGTTGTTGAGAATATGAAAATATTTTTGAATGACTAGTGACAGTACTCTTGAGTCCATTTGAATTAATATAATCCAAATCCTACTTCTTTGTCTTTATTGTGGTGATTTAGTATAGTACTGTATTGCCCTTTTTTTTCTTTTTTTGATACTGGGGATTGAATCCAGGGGCGCTTTAGTGGTGAACTAAGTCCTTAGCTTTTTTTTTTTTTTTGAGACAGGGTTTCTCTGAGTTGCTTAGGGCCTCACTAAGTCGCTGAGGCTGGCCTTGAATTTGTAATCTTCCTTCCTCGGCCTCCTGAGCTGCTGGGATTCTAGCCATGCAGCACCACACCTAACTTCATTGCCTTTTTCTATGTGACTATTTAAGTCCTCCAATACTTAAAAACTTTTTCCCAAAATATGAGTAACATTTAGGACAATGAAAACTGGAGGTGAGGGGCTGGGGTTGTGGCTTAGTAGTAGAGCGCTTGCCTTGCATGTGTGAAGCCCTGGGTTTGATCCCCAGCAGCACGTAAAAATAAATAAATAAAGGTATCATGTCCATCTACAATTAAAAAATTTTTTTTAAAAACTGGAGGTGAATGATTATTAGGTTGCCCTTTTTTTCAAGAGTTGTACAAATGGTTGATTATATGTTAAATCATATTTCTTGCTTAATAAGGCATAATTCAAGTTTCAAAAAGTTTTTTTTTTAATATTTTGGTTATAGGTGGACACAATGTCTTTATTTTACTTTATGTGGTGCTGAGGATTAAACCCAGTGCCTCATGCATGCTAGGCGAGCTCTCTACCTCTGAGCCACAACCCCAGCCCTCAAAAAGAATTTTTAACATGGTACTACAAGGAAATGAACTCAGGGCCTCATACATGCTAGGCAAGTACTCTACCACTGAGTTATAACCTTCTGCCCTAAATTTGAACTGTTGAACAGCTTTACTGAGGTGTAATCTACATAGTATAAAATTCACTCGCTGAAATTATACAATTCAGTAATTTCTCATAAATTTGTAGAGTGGTGCAGTTATTACTACACTCCAATTTCAGAACGTTTATATGCCTCCATCCCCCAGAATTCCATTCAACCCATTTGTAGTTAATGCCAACTCCCATCTTCAACCTCAAGCAACCACTAATCTGCTTTCCATTTCTTTCACTTAGTTTAATGTTTTTGAGGTTCTTTGAAGTTGTAGCATATGTTAGTATTTTGTTTCTTTTTGTTGCTGAATAGCATTATCTTGTATGAATATACCAGTTTGTCCAGTTGAAGGATGTTTGTTTTCATTTTGGGCTATTGAAATGTTGCTGTAAATAATTGTGTACAAGTCTTTGTACCGGCATAGTTTTTTCATTTTTCATAGTAGAAATCTAAGATGGATGCCAGGCATGGTGGTGTACACCTGTAATCCCAGTGATCCAGGAGGTGAGGCAGGAGGATTACAAATTCAAGGCCAGTCTGGGCAATTTAAGGAGACCCTGTCTCAAAATAAAATAAAATAAAAGGCTGGAGGTGTAGCTCAGTGGTAAGGTGCTCCTGGGTTTAATTCCAGTACTGCAAAAATAAATAGATTTAAAATTTATAATTAAAAAAATGTGAAACTATGTAGCTCAGTGGTAGAGCATCCCTGGGTTCTTCCCAGTACTGCCAAAAATTAGTAAATAAGAATGAAATGCTGAAATACATACACCTGTAAGCTCAGTGGCTGGGGAGATTGAGACAGGAGGATTGCAAATTTAAAACCAACCTCAACAATGTAGCAAGATCCTATCTCAATCTTAAAAATACAATATACATATATATATATATATATATATTTTTTTTTTTTTTTAAGCTGGGGATGTGGCTCAGTGAGTTCAATCCCTGGTTCAAAAAACAACAACAAAAAAAAAAAAATGCCTGATTTTTTTTTTTTTTTTTTTTTTTTGTACACTCATTTTCCTCTTTTCTCCAATCTTCTTGCCCAGGGAGCACAATACTTGGGAACCAGAGAAAAATTTGGATTGTCCTGAGCTAATTTCTGAGTTTATGAAAAAGTATAAGAAGATGAAGGAGGGTGAGAATAACAAACCCAGGGAGAAGTCAGAAAGTAACAAGAGGAAATCCAATTTTTCAAACAGTGCTGATGATATCAAATCAAAAAAAAAGAGAGAGGTAAGTTTCCTTTCCCTGTTCCCCACTGTGCCACTGTGTTAGCTTTTTGTTGCTGTGACAAATACATGAAGGGGAAAAAAAAAAAAAGGAAAGATTTGTTTTGACTCACTGTTTCGGAGCTTTTAGTTCATGGTTGTTGACTCCATTGCTTTGAGTCTGAGGCTAGGCTGGACATCATGGCCAAAGGGAATGGCAAAGCAGAGCTGCTCAATTCATGGCAGCTTAGAAGCAGAGGAGAAAGGGGAAGGGGAGGCCAGGAACCAACAAGGGCATGCCCCGGTGACCTACTTCCTCAAAAGCATGTCCCCCTGCCTATAGATTCCACCACCTCCTAGTATCCCATTCAGCTATCAGTGGATTCATTCTCCCAAAAGCCCCACCTCCTAACATTGCTGCATGGGGACCAAGCCTCAACACAGGAGTCTTTGGGGAACACTATGTGTGCAAACCATAGCATTCACAAACTGTTTTATTTTAGGTATTTCTGTTCTAAGGATGTACCTAGAACAAAAGCTTTCCGGAGGTTTGTTGGTTAACTGCAGCGCCCCCTTCTGGCTGAGTGGGAAATGTAATTTGTGGTCAATGGATTTGTATTAAAGTGGCAAAATTAAATCAGCACCATTTAACTACTTTGACTTCTCAGTAAATAGAAGATTTAGTTATTTTAGAGAGGGAGAATCTTTGATGAATTTTTTAAGAATGGAAAAGACCTTTATTTGTTTTAATGATAGTACTTGTTTTCAACCCTTTCTATTTTTTTAATTGAGATGAAATTCACATAATATACAATTAACTGACATTTCTGTTCTCTCTTGATCCTAATGTATTTTCATACTTCACAAAAGAAATTAATTTTAATCTTCTTTTTGAATCTTTTTGTTGTTTATTTGGAAAGTATATTTATGAAATTTTTGTTTGATTCAGTTGCTTTAATCTGTGCTCTTTAGCTCTCAAGTAACTAGCATAAGCACTGTTATTACATCCTTTTTCACCTGTATGTGTGCACATAAACACACACCACCCTCCAGCTTTTATTCCTTTCATTTATTTCAAGGTTACAAACCTTTTGTGGTGAAGGATATATCACACACTTAAAGTTTAATAAAATAAAAGCATAAGTCCACTTCTGAGTCTTCCAGCATCACTGCCACAAGCACCTCTATTTATCTTTATTCTGCGTGGATACCTATCACTGGCTGCACATTAAAATCACCTGGGGGAGCTGCTTTAAAAAATCTCCAGTGCCCAAGATGCACCCCCAGACTAGTTCAAGGAGAATCTCTGTGTTTTGGACCCAGGAATCATGGTTTAGAAAATCTTACACAAATGATTCCTGGTCTTCATAGGGCAAGATATAGAAAAACAGCTTAAAAAGAAGTGAGCATGAAAGATTGGAAGCTGCAAGTGAAAGGGGACTCACAATTTCTATGTCCTTATTTGTTTCCCCGAATAATTGTTTTTTGTTTGTTTGTTTTGTTTTTTGCAACCTTATTTTAAAAACTGCCCTATTTTGGTGAGGTCTGTATATTATTATGATATATTGTACTGATAAAGGATTTGAGAATGCTTTGCCTTCTCTAAGGAGGGAGGTCTTGAGTCTCTTTCTTCTTTTTTATGAGTCCTTTGTATTCTGGCTTTTATTATTTGATTCAGTTTCTGTCTAAATTAAGAGAGCAAAAATAACACAGTATAAAACTTCCAGTTAGGCATTTGTGACAGATAGTGAGTATGTCCTCAATCTAGGGTTTCTGTCCTTTTGCAAAGGAGCAATATGAGTAATCTGGCTTAGTGTCACTGGCCAGTACAGAGTTTCATTCCTAGGCCTGATTCTGAGGCTGCCGACCTTGAAAACAACCCCTACCTGTGCTGTTCACCCGCGGCCCTTGATAGCATTCTGAGCAGTACTGGTGGCTATCAGGTAGGTAGCAGGGAAGACAGGTGATTGTATGTTTTAAAGTATAGAGGAACAGAGGAGGATTGCATTTTTTTTAACACTATTGCATTAAAAATTGGTTAGTTGGTATTATGCTTGATTTAAAATCACTGTCTCTATGATGATTTTAGCATTTACCTCGCCTCAGCTCCTTTTCAGCAGCTTGAATATTTTTCTCCCCTCCCCCTCCCCCCTTCCCTCCCAATGTGGCAAACTGTTTTCAGCCGCCAACTATGATTTACTACCCAGACCATGTGCCAGCTTTCCAGCTGTGAGCAGCTGTGTGCACATCTGGGAACCTCTTCCCCTTAAGAACCCCCAAAAGAGGCTATGTTTTTAAAAGTATTTCCCCTTGATCCATGCCTGGAATTTCCTTCCTATTGTGGGTTCTGGTATCTTTGGGGGCCACCTGAACCCTGCATCTCTTAGAGGAAAGTAAGGTGAATTTTAGATCAAAGAGATCTTATAAAAATTAGACACAAGGGATTTCATTCATTTGGATAGTTTTCCTAAATTTTTTAGTATGCTGCTACTAGATAAGCTTGCATTATCTTCCATGATATAGTTTTAAAAAATTATGTTTTATATGAAATTTTATTTTCTTGCTCTCCACCTGGATAAGACCCTGTCTAGATAATGATTACACTTAAACCAAGTTTCAACACTTCTCTTGTGACTTATCAACTAGTTAGTTAGTTCATAATCACAGTCCAATTCTACCTTCACTAACAGCTCATTCACATTGGAGGGGATAGGCAGACCAAGTGTGTGGGTATTAGAGTTTGTGATCTTTGAAACTGTTTTGTGTCATCAGCCTCATATCATTTTTACCTCTGTTCTTTCATAACATAGGTGACTGTGTGAAAAGGAAAATTGAAATTATTATTCAGTGTTAAGGGTAAAAGCCTCAAATAAGAATTGAGAGAGGGCTGGAGATGTGGCTCAAATGGTAGTGCGCTTGCCTGGCATGTGTGCAGCCCGGGTTCATCCTCAGCACCACATACAAACAAAGATGTTGTGTCTGCCGAAAACTAAAAAATTTTAAAAAAGAAAAAAAAAAGAGTTGAGAGAGATGGTATATTTGAAGTTTTTAAGGTGAGAAAAGGTTTAGGTAGCGTAAACATGAACTTGCTTGTCGTCTCAGAAGCTATAGGACAGGGGCAGCTGCTTAGAATACTAGAGAGATTCAGAGTGAGTAGGAGGATTAGAGGAATTTCTAAATAGTGACTTCCGAACATCTCATGGGACCTTACAGACTTGTAAGGGTCACTCTGAATCTTTTGAAGGGAATATAAGGAAGGACAATTGCATCTTCTTGCAAAAGAAAAAAAAAATCTCTGGGCATCATAGTGTCACCAACTTAACCTAGTTATTATATTTCTTAAATCCTAAGACTTTTTTTGAATCAGTGACAGAAGTGGTATCACATGATATTAACCCAGATTGAGCTTGTTGTGCTGAGAAACAGAAATTTTTTTTACTCTTTCTCCAAGCTGTAAGTAACCTTTCTTTATCTTCTATTTATAGCAGAGCAATGATATTGCTCGGGGCTTTGAGAGAGGACTGGAACCAGAAAAGATCATTGGGGCGACAGATTCCTGTGGTGATTTAATGTTCCTAATGAAATGGTGAGAGAGATTGGGCTCCACTTCATGATTGTGTTTCTTTGAATTTGTATGGAAGATAGAGTGACAAGACTGAGAATTCCCAAACTAAGAATTTTGAATTTCAGAGATCCAAATCCTATGCCTGCTATTTGGCATTAAATGAGAATTGTGATTCACAATGTATTTATGACATTCTCAAGCTTCATTATGAAACCAAATTATGTTATAGTAGCCCATATAGCAGAAAAAAGTAGAAAACATAAACTATCTGTTTATACAGTTCTGAATTTTTTACTATAAGACCATGAGCCTATGACAATAAGAGTTGAATTAGACTTTCTACCATTCCTGGGGGCTAAGACCACTGAATGATCAAAAAGAGAAAAATAACCTCAACAAAAAATATTAAGGCTAATACTGACCAAAGCACAGGTTACTTTGGCCAGTAGAGAGAGTGGCTCTTGAAGTAAAGTGCAGTACTTTTTTCAGTTTGTTGTATCTATTTATTTCTAGGGATTGAATCCAGGGGCACTTTACCACTGAGCTACATCCCCAGTTCTTTTTATTTTTTGAGACAGATTACATTTGCTAAGTTGCTGAGGCTGCCTTGAACTTCACATCTTCCTGTTTTTAGCCTCCTGAGTCATTGGGATTCCAGGCGTGTGCATCAATGTGCCCAGCTCAATTTGGGTTCTTAAAGGTGGGGTGATTAGCCAAGGTAGTCCCAGCCACTTGGAAGCTCAGGCAGGAAGATTGCAAGTTCAAGGCCAGCCTGGGCAATTAGCAAGACCCTGTCTAACAAAATAAAAAGGGGGCTGGGTGCAGAGGTGCACACCTATAATCCCAGTGACTCAGGAGGCTGAAGCAGGAGGATCAAAGTTCAAAGCCAGCCTCAGCAGCTTAGTGAGGCCCTAAACAATTTAGACCCGTAACTTTTTTTGGTTGTAGTTGATACTGGAAATTGAACTAGGGTACATCTAATCTCTGAACTATATCCCCAATTCTTTTTTCTTTTTATTTTGAGATAAGATTTCACTGAGTTGCTGAGGTTGGCCTTGAACTTGAAATTCTCCTACCTCAGTGTCCTAAGTCACTGGAATTATAGGTGTGCCCACCTACATTCACATATTTAACTAGTTTTTTCTACCATAGTCCAAAATTAATATCTGCTCTAAGCTATGCATTTTCTATTTCCTCTCATCCATAATACTTCCCTCTGTGAATTAAATGCTCAATTTTCTAGAAAAGAAAGTATAGCTATATTTGTCCACATCTCAGGAGAATTTAAATTTTTTTTGATTAATTAAAATATTTGTGTTGCTAAGATAATTTTGTTTTTACTTGGTAATGGGGCTATGTGACTTGGGTAATAGGAATTTTCACCAAATTTCCATGTTCTTATTGTTTCAAATCACAGTTCTTGGGCTAGGGATATGGCTCAGTAGTAGAGCATCTGCCTGGCATGCATGAGGTCCTGGGTTTGATCCTCGCACTGGGCGGCGGTGGGGGGACGGGGGGATCATAGTTATGACCAAGGGTAATGAGTATTTAAAAGGCCACAAAATGAGGAGGATTAGATCTCTTTGCTTAAAATGATTCAGAAACTAGATTTACACATATCATAATTATGCTGAGTACATGTTTAATTGTGTTTACTCACATGTTGAGACACACAAATAAAACTTACAAAAGTAGAATAATGTATTATTCATCCTTTCACCCTGAAATAAAGCTGAGGAGGACATCAAGTCAGTTCAGTGCACATAGTGACATAAAGTCTGTTTGGACAGATTCTCTCCCTCTTACTTCATTTCCTTCTAAGTCTTTTATTCTTCCTTCCAGGAAAGACACAGATGAAGCCGACTTGGTTCTTGCAAAAGAAGCTAATGTGAAATGTCCACAAATTGTGATAGCATTTTATGAAGAGAGACTGACGTGGCATGCATATCCTGAGGATGCGGAAAACAAAGAGAAAGAAACCGCAAAGAGCTAAAGGACGGGTGGTCTCTGTCATTTCTCTTTGTACATAATACATTCGCCTCCCTGCCTTTCCCTTCTGCCCACCCTCTTCTATCCTAAACACATCCATAAAAAAAAAAAAAAATGTGCTTATCACTGTGCTCCACAGGAGAAATGTTGGTATTGGTTCTCTTGTAACATAACTGATGGTCTGATTCATGATAAGTGTCTTTCTGTGAAGACCAGGCATTTACATACTGTGTGTAATTCCCACAAGTTTTTCCTTTGCCCTTATCTCTTCCTTCTGCTCCCCTGTGACCTCAAGATAAGTTTTAACTTTTTAATCACCTTAAGAGTCTTGATCTTTTCAGGGTTGGTTGCTTTTTAGATTGGGGGATTTTATTACAATGATGATGAATTTTGGTTTCTTGCTTTGTTTCTCAGAATATGTTGATGACCAGCTGGCCTTTATTTTAACATGTTGGGATGGAAAGAATATTGCCCATCTTTTAAAAAGCCAATAGCAACTGCCTACCTGTTGGGGCTTTCCCAACTTCTTTAGCTCTACCCAGGAGAATCCAGGGTCCCTGATGTGGTCTTCTTCTGGGCTACCCTCTGTTGTTCATCCTCACCCATCCTCCCAGAATAACTCCGTCCTTTGGAGGACTTGAAATTTTATGTTGAAATTTATCAAGGCCCTCCTTTTAGCCCTAGGATTTTTGGCCTTGTTCTTAGTAATCCCTGATTCTCCTTCTGTAAGTTTGTCATAAAATGACAAGATTATTAACTATGGGACAAGAGGATATGGGGTAGGGGCAAGAAACAGTTGTCTTTATCATGTATGATGTGTACGTATTCTTTCCTTCCATCCCTTATATTTAGACTGTATTTATGTAGGTGTGAGTGATTGCCTGGTGCTTGCTTGTGCCAAGGTGCTAGGCACCCTCCAACCCTGCCAACTTTTGTGGCCTCCCAAAGCATTCCTGTTACCAAAGAGGCTTCAAACCTGACTCTCTCTTCTCAATGGACCTATGTTGCCCTTCCATGTCATTATTTTCAGTGGGGAATTATTGGAGGGGAGCCATTGGCCACAGTATCAATTTTAAATTTTCATTAACAATTATATATACGTTTCCTGCTTTTTTTGACTCCTGGATTTGCCAACAGAGTCCACAAAGTATTAATGTTCTTCTCCTTTTCCACCCTCAAATTTTATTTGAATCTTATTTTTTAAAACCCATTTTCATGGAAAACTATCACCTCAGAAAGTGGCAGGTCCTTGCATTAGCATGTCGACACAACCTTTACTCCCTACTCAGCCAAATAGTTCCCTTTTGGTTTCTTCTTGCTTTGCTAATTGAGAGATTTTTTTATGATAATATCCTTCTGCCTTTGTCCCCCAAACAATGCCCTACTTCCCTTTATCCTTTTCTTGTAATTGAGAGGGCTAGAGAATCAGGACTAAACATAAGGAAGTAGCAGGGTTTGAGCATCCTTGTCCCAGCCTCAAAGCTGAGGAAATAAGAATAAATGCTTGAAGTAGCCTTAATTCTAGAGTTTGCCAGCCATTGAGGCTGTTTTTGTTGTTTTTGATTTTTAAAACATATAGCTGTCTGGCCAGGAGCATTCAGCCATTGCTAGATTATTCATARTAATGAGGGGAATGGTGGATTGCTCCAGTCCACAGATGAGCCAAATAATATGCAAATCATATACCCATTCATAGCATTTGTTACATTGCTTCCCTGCTCAGCTGCTGATTGAATTCTGTATGTTGTATAAATTATGTCAAAAATTATACTGCACAGTTGAGAAGACAGCTGTTGCTGCAGTGACAGGACAGACTGGAACAATGGAGCTTTTGGTTTAAGTCAGCCAGGAAAATCTTTTTGAATGGTAATGTGATTGGGGGGAGAGCTCATAACCCATTCCTTTCGTGGGTAGGAGTTTTTATCTCCATATTTCTTTGCTCTATGAAGGATTTAAAGGCCGGATCAAGTGGTAGATCATTGACAGTCATTTGTATTTAATCTGATGGGCATCAGCAAGAAAAGAAGGATGGTCAGAAAACACATTTTTCGTACAAGTAACACAGGATATCAGGGTAGGTAAGAATAGGGCAAAAGATGTCCAGAGCTCCTGAGAAGGGGATCACCCAGATCACTTTGACTGACTGCTGGAGAAAATGCTAACCTACCTAAGTAACCAGTGCATGCCTCCCAGTGATAGTGGTTATGTGAACTGCAATGACCATGTTTTTAAAATCAAATCTAGCACATGGACAAGGAAAACAGCAATATTTGGTACTGAGATTAGTCCTTGAAACCAGGTACACGATGTTTTGCTGTGGCTATAGGTAATGTTGAAAACATTTATCAAAGTCTGAATTTCCTTTACCAAAATGACCCTAGTGTCATCTGTTACTCATCACCCCTTTTAATTCTCTTCATTTCATCTTTTTCTGTCTTCAGTTTATAGAATCATGGTTTTCTGAGTTACCATCAAAACAACTTTTGTTCTCTCCTTGCTACTCACAGCTGGTTGTGTGGAATGTAGGGAACCAGAGCACCAATACTAATTTCAGCCCTTAGCACAAAGGAAACCAGATGCCTGCCAGTGCCTCCAGCATTTGTTGGTGCTGGGTAGTTGTTCTCTCCATTGGAGAATTGCAGCCTCAAACAAATCTGTTTCATGGAACTTTCTCCTCTCTGAGGAGTTTGTAGCCAGGGGTGCTCACCACTGAGCTACATCCCTAGATCTTCTTATTTTATTTTGAGATAGGGTCTTGCCAAGTTGCCCAGGCTGGCCTCCAACTTGGAATCCTGTCTCAGCCTCCCAGGTAACTGGGATTACAGGTATGCTGTTGCACCCAGTTTGCAAAGAAAACACTCTTAAATGCGTAGGTCTCAGGTGCTCGCGGTATATTTTTCCTGTGTTCAGTTCTCTTTCAAAACATTCTAATGCTGAATTTCTTCCAATAAACAGCAGTAAGCGATATCCCTTTCTACAGAGTTTAACAGAGCTTTTTGGAGTAGAGTCTACCAGGGACAGCTTAGCAGGTCTTCTGATTCCCAGGACTGCACAAATGGCTCTCAGGTTTAAGTCCACTACTGGGAAGGTCAGCCTGGAGGGCAGTGCCCATTTTAAACCTGGAGAGAGCTATATTGTTTTTTTTGGTTTTTTTTTTTTTCCTTGTTCAAACGGGCTCTCGGGAATATTTGAACCTGTGGTGCTCCCAGCACTGACAACTCTAGATGGTCCTTGGCTGTCCCCCAACCATATCTGCATACTTTTGGTTGTTGAAGGGTTGGTCCTATTCCCACAGCCCAGGCAGTTATTATCCTTAATTCTTTTTATTCCTGTTCTAGAACTACCTGTTGTCTGTTTTCTTTACATTCAGTCCAAATAACAGGGCACTGGGAAAGGTTTTAGGACTTCATCTTGAGTTTTTATTGGGCCTGTGCTTTAATCCAGCTCACTAAGGAACAGTGAAGGAGCAGCATTTGGACTGAGGAATCATTGTCTCCGGCATTAGGGTTCAAATTTGAGGGTCTAAAACACTACTTTGTGAGGATGTGAGAGCCCTATTAGAGCCAAATTGAAAAATCTCAAATGGGCTAAAAAAAAGGGGGATTTATGACCCCATCCCTTTGGTTTAGATTTTTAGAGTCAAAGTTAGGGTTATTTATTTACAGTCTTTAACTTACAGTCTAACACAGTATAGACTTGAGGTCTGTACTTTTATAATTGAATCATCAGGCATGTCTGTACCAAGGAGGAGAGAGGAAAGGTCTGGAGCCACTGTTTGACATTGGCTTCACCCTCTAATGAAGGATTGTTTTCAAAAACAGATGTTGTCCAGCCTTACACACAAAGGCATATGCTCTGAATCGGGTGCCCCGAGTTTTACATAAAGCTGTCTGAATTCTCGCCATGTTAATTTACATCAACTTTGGTGATTTCATTCTACAAACATTTTTTGGCCTGGGGATACCAAGTTCAAAAAGGGGCCATCCTTCTACACTCAAGAGAATTTTAATATTGGTATGGGATGAATTGATCATTAATAATTTTGTGTAGTAAAGATTACAAGTGGAGGCTGGGGTTGTAGCTCAGTGGTAGAGCACTTGCCTAGCATGTGTGAGGCACTGGGTTCGATTCTCAGCACCACATAAAGGGCTACCAACAACTAATAAAATATTTTTTAAAAAAAGATTACAAGTGGGTATAAAGTTCTGGTTTAGGAACAGAGACAGCTGACTGATGTGGTGTAGTTTTGAGCTCTAGAGTAGGAAGGTGACATTAATTAGTTAATATGTGGAAAAGACCTATGGCCTTGGATGAACTGAGCTAATTGGCCGTAGAACACAGCAAAATTGTTTTCCAGAAAATAAACAAAGCTGAGTTTAAAATGTTGTCATTATGGAGAGAGAAATCAGATGAATGGGTATAGAGAACCCCTGATTTGAGTCCCTGGCTTGTCCTCTGCCAAAGTATTCAGTGATGTAGTTAGTTCTTGCTTGTGGAAAGTATCAGCTATGTTACGTATCCAATTGTTTGTAGATTCTTTAACACTGTTCTTCATGGACATGTTATCAAAGTTGCTCACGCATATTTCAGTTTCTTATCCCTTTTGGAGGAGTAAACATGAGGTGGGCTTTAAGCTTAAAATGTACTATCTCTTGAGAAGATTTGTTTAAAAAAAAAAAAAAGCTGGGGGCACATCTGTTAATACCTGAGCATATACCTTGGGGTGGTACAGTTTTATTCAAGTACAGCAGGAGAGTGATTTCTCACTTATGTCAGTTATGTGGTAACCTTTCCCAAAAATACACATAACCTGGAGTCTCAATGAATCCTAACCCAGTTATGAAATAGTGTAATCCTAAGAAATTGTCCATTCTAACCCACATGCTCATAAGAAGAAATTTAGCTCTGACTGGATTAACAAGAGTAAAGAAGCTTTGGAAGTCAGAATTCCCAGGATTTAGACTAATTACTGGAAAGTTAAGTGTGAAGTTCTTTGGATGGCTTCATAAAAACAATTTGTTTCATTTTGCTTGTGCTGGATTTCTTGAATTTTAATCTACCTCATCTTGTCTTTAGAGTTACTTCTGCCTGTCATTGCCACTTGAACATCATGTTTGACTGGTTGTTTTCTAAGGTGGCATTTTCCTATTTGGTAGTTCCTTTTCTTCTGGTCCTCATTTCACCTAGCATCATCTCACATTGCTTCTCTGTCAGAAGAAATGTTTTAAAATAGTTTATAAAGTCTTGTTTTATGGGAAGAAGTGATCCTTCAGTGCTGTTTGTCTCTGAGGTCAGTAAGAGAGGAGTTAAAACAAGGTGGTGGGGGAGGGACAGATCCTGCACTGGAGGCAAAAGCTGACAAGGAAAGAGCCATTAATTAAGACAATTTCAAAGTCAACTGATTGTGATCATTAATGTCATAATAGATCAAAACCTAATTATCACAGTCTAGGTAAGAGCCATCAGTATTAATCGGAAAATCTAATAGGAAACTATTATCAAGAAATTAGGCCAAATTGAATGCAATGAACTTTTTATCTTGTCATTCACTATTTTGTGTGTGTGATGTCCCTTGGCATTGACAGGTATGACCCTGACAGCTGATCCAGGTCCAAATGGTCAGCTCATTACCTTTTTTTAAGGAGTGTATTTCTGGGGGCTTGGGGACAGTTAAAACTGAACCCAAACTGTCATTGCTGAAGATCAATCTTGAACTTTCTTGTCATTTGGATTTGTCCATTGTGATCAGCCATCAGTAGAAAAAGTTTATATTATATTTAAAGTCTTTAATGGTTCCTGGAACTATAGTGTCCCTGATGAATATGGTACTGTGTTGATAATTTTTTTAGCTTCTGTTGCATGTAGAAGGTCCTGCTGCACTAGCCGCTGTGAGGGGCATGAAAAAAGCAAGGTATTTGTCTGGAAATTATTTGAGATCACCTGAAACGATAGTTTCCTGTGTTGGCATTCTCAAGGCTCAAGTCACTGTGTTGGCATTCTCAAGGCTCAAGTCAGTGTTTTCCAGTTTCCGGTAGCTTTAGGATTTTATTCTAAAACAGGGCTGGCTGGGGTTTGGTACCCTCCTGACCCCCAACCCCTTGTCCTAGTTTTGGGGTAAGGAATATAATGGTTTCTACCAGAACTCAGAATAAAACCAAAGTGGGTGGGGAATGCATCAAATGTTTTTTTTGTCCGTGGGTTTTCTGTTTTGTTTTTTGCCTTTTGCCTTAAAGAGCTATGGCTCTGGCAGGAGGTAAGAATATTACAAGAGTATATATGACGAGTTATAGAGGTCACCGTTTATATTCTTAATCTTAAGCTGTTGATGCAGTCCTGGGTTTGAGCTGAGGCAGAGAGTTTGGGAAATGATGCCCTCTGGGTTGGTGGGGAGGGGTGTGCAGCAGCTGGAGGCTGGTTGGTGGTGCTGGGCTTCTGCGCTGTGTGATAAGTAGCCCTAGGAGACTTGATCAAGCCCACCAGTGGGTTAAGGTTTTTCTTGTGCCTACCTGAGAGTGGTCTTGTTTCTTTCTGGATTTTAGGAATTTGGGTTATTCAGTACAAAACCTTGAGAAATCATTGTGACTTAGCTCTTCACGTCTTAAGATTTTTTCCCCCAAAGGAATTCATGTCTTTAGTGTTTAAAATGTAATTTTATTTTCCACTAACATAATTTTCAGAAGCAGATGGTTTCTCTTAGGTTCCTCACATTATACTAGATAAATAATAAACCCTTAGTTAATAATTGTGGGTTGATTGAGCTCATCTCATTTGCAGAGTGAGGTGTACCTATCATCTTCCTTTTGCTCCCAAGTGTACCTGAGAAGTAGAATACTCTTAAGAAGCAGAAGATGAATTGAGTGGATGCTAACTACGTGTGCCAACCTCTTCAACTGATTTCATAATGGCTGACCTTGGGCAAGTCATTCCTTTCAATGCCTCAGTTCCCCATCTGTCAAATGGGGGTAATAATACTGACCTACCTCACAGGGGTGTTGTGAGGCATTGTGAATCAAAGTTGATAGAATACTTTAGGTTCCTCTGTGGAGGATTCCTTGAGCCGAAGTGTAAGCCTGATGCAGGCTTTTAGTCCTCACTGAGCTGTCTCCAAGTTTGGAACTACTTAGTGACCTCGGCCAACTCTCTGCCCCCTACCCCTCATCAAAGCTGCTAGTTCAGATGTTGACAGTGTTTTCTTGAATGTTGGAGTCTTAATAGTCCAGACTTACTTGGGATGTTATGGGGGAAGGCACTAGTATCTCCTCTGTCTTGCATTCACAGAGAGGCTTTGGATTAGGGAATCATGAGGGAGGGGTGCTACTGCTTGTTTTTCTTTGCAGGTTGGGAATTAAGATTCCTTTACCTATGGATTTGGAGCCAACAGACTGTTTCCAGAGGGTCTCAATGGTTTTGACTTCTATTACTTTTCATTCCCCCCAAATGATCCCAGTACTGCTAGGTCACTGTACCCTTACGTGCTCCTAAGCCTCCACCTCCTCATAGGAACCAGATGGTTCAATAAATGTTACCACCACCTCATTCTCCACCAGAAAGAGCTACATTGGAGGGGTTTTTTTTTACCCCCCAGAAATATGTGTAATGCTTAGAATTGGGCATTGATCCTTAAGACTTACATCTGATTTTCTGTATTTAGTATTTGTCATCTCTTTCTCAATGTCCACAATCTGAACCTGACCTTGACCTTTTTTCCCCCTTTGGTTTGAGAAAACCTTGGAAACTATTTCTATTGCCCAGGTATGGGCTCAAGAAC